GTTTTAAAACCCTTGTCCCCCCCCCCCCCCCCTTTACTGATACTTCTGATCAATTTAATGTGTACTAAAAAAATATTAATTTCTTAAACAAAAAATCTTACCCCAACCCTGAATATCTGACCCCAAACTTTTGAACGATTGTGTAAAACAATATAATAGTGCAGCATGAACTTACTGCTTAAAATCTCCTTTTGCATTTTAAGATGAAAAAAGGGTCATACAGGTTTTGAACAACAGGAGGGTGAATAAATGACAGAATTTTCATTTTTTGGTGAGCCACCCTCGCAAAGCTTAATGTATCCTCAAAAGGGCCTTCACAGCAATGAAACAAAAAAAAAGTTCCAAAAGCACGACTACCCATTCAGCAGAGGTTCATTTCTATTTAATGGCTTTAATTTTACCACCCTTTAAAAAGTTAGCTACGCAGTCTATTATAAGATCTATAATTTACACATCAGTCTGGTCACCAAGTCTGGTCGTGAGAACAAACCTGGGTTTTAAATGGTGCACAAAGGCACAGTAACCCATTACGCTTGTGGGTTTTGGAGTAGTGTATTCCTAAGAGTGATAAAACACAGACTTCATTCACATTACACTAAATTAGTTGCTAAGATTTACGTAATGAGCTTGAGAAGAACTGCATTCCTTTTCTAATGAAATATGGTGCCTGGCAGCAGCTTAGAGTTAATGTTAGATTAATTAAATAGAAAAAAATAAAGGAATTTGGAAACAAATAGGTCAAGAAATTTGCTCAACTGATTTGGGTGGTCTGATGTACGAAAGCACAAACTGTTGTGCAAGAACCAGAAGCGTTCAGTTTGCCGTTGACCCGGTATCATCGTAAAGGGGTAACAGTAATACAATTTGCTCAGCACATTTTCGATTTTGCCGGGAAAAAGTCCTGTTTAACCAGGCGGATCGGAGTGTTCCTGCCGAGAGCCTGAAGTTTCATGAGCTGCTTAAATGAGTTGTAATCGAGCGATCGCCGAGGCGTGAAATATGATTTTAGTAGCATGAGATGAATAATACAGCGCATTAAACAACGCATCAGGAGAGCGCTGATATGTACATTACATAAACACTTCACTCCTACGTCAGGTTTGGAGTGAGCAGGGTCAGTTCAAAGCTTTAGAGGTTGTAAACCGAGCAACTCGCACAAAGAGGCCAGCCATGAACACTAAATGTTGTGGCAAGTGTTGCTAATGTTTGACTTGATGCGTTTGACTGTAGAGTCGACTGCAAAACTAATGATCTCAGCTCTATTTGAACGTTTTTGGAGGTTTGCCATTGGATTACTGTTGCGATATGTGCCATCTTGCTAATAAAAGCCACAGTTTTCCTGGAGGCACAAACAACAACATATATTTTAAGGCATACATCCAAACCAAGTATTTTTCCACTCTATTGAACTGAAAACAGAAAAAGGCGTTTAAACTTTAAGCATAAACTAAAAACATGCCAGGCTTTTGCTGGATGGACAGGTCTGTGCCCTGTGAAATCAAATGCAATGTGATAGATGTGGCGAAGAGCAAAAAGGATACGGATATTTCTGTCAAGGAGGATGCATTTCAAAGGGTTAAGCTTCCATTATGTGGGTGGTTTAGTACAGTATTGATGTTGGCGTGTTTGCTATTAAAGGGTTTACTGTACGTGTTATTTTGCTATCAGCATTTGCTTTGAAGCTTTAATAATTCACTTCGTTATGATAGTGATATGAGGGCTGGGGATTATGGGTTTGGATTATGTCATTTTAATAGCAACTGAACTCAAAATAATAAAAAAAATTTAATTAGAAGTGGGTACTTAAAAGATTGAATCTTAAAATATTCCTATTATAATACAGTATATCACAATGTAAAATCAATCATGTAAATGAAATATTATAAGCTCCTGTATCATAATTGTTCCTGTATCCTGGAGCTGTAAGTACATCATTTGTAGTTTGCTTCCCCTGAAAAGTGTAAAGAAAGGTCCGAGATTTTCGTCCCAAATTTCCGCACGTTAAAAATAAATACAACCTCACTCACGTTGTGTCAGTCGCTTTTACACAATGCCTCCGAAAATTTCATCCGACATAAAAAATTCGGATTGGGTTCGATTTTCTGCGTTTTTCGCATCCTTAGCAATCATTTTGAGAGGTGTTTTGACAATTGAAAGCCACCGTACAAGCGAACACCAAAATCCAAAATGGCGTTTGACAAGTTGATCCACTTTGTCTGGCAGCACAAAGCACTGTATAGGTCCTTGCACACTGAGTTCATGGAAATTGGTGGTCTTATTTTTAATATGTGGCTCCAGTATTGCTAGCAAAGCATCAAACTGAGCCGCTGACAACCTGAAGTAAACTTTGAATCACATGGGATAATCCCGCAGCTCCTTAATAAGGAGGTGGAACTCTCCTTCCTCTCTACGCCACCTCCGGATTGGATGGACCCAATATTTCCTCTTTCGTTTTCTTGTTTTAAGAAGAGAGAAGACAACAAAATCATCATCACTGCTTGAAGACTCCATTTTGTATTGTTTGCAAATTTTTTTGCAACAGATTAATTAATATGCGTTGGACTCGGTGTGCAAGGACCTTTACTCTGCATTGTAATCAAAACATTGCTGTTCGTTTAAGGATTCAGACTAACACGGCAACAGTGGTTTAACCATCAGCATGAGTATAGGCCGTGGTTATCTGTTTGGAATGAGTGGGGCAATCCAACCAATTGAAGATATAGTTTTTGGAAACCTGTGTGAAAATAATTGCTAACCTTCGTGAAACACAAGAAAAATTGTGTTAATTGTTCATAAGAAATGTTGCTAAACTAACAAAAGTTCTGCTTAATGCATAAATGTGTAAAATTTAACAGAAATTCTTTATACTCTCTTTCTGCACAAAAATTATTCAATTTTAAATATATTTCTAACAATAAGCATTAATAACTACACTGTAAACCATAATGTTGTCACTAATTAAGCAATCACAATTTATCATTAATTTAACATTACTAAAAATATCATGTTTTGGCATCATAACTCAAAACAGGTATATTTAATTATTTAGTAGGAAAATCTTTCAAGTTAGAAGTCTAAATAAGAACTCAAAATTACAATTTATTTACTGTAAATTATTTAATCTGTCTCCGATTAATCTGATTGGCAGATAATAACACAATGCACAAATGGTAGGCGTTAAGGATAGTTCAAAAGGTAGACGTTAAGGATAGTTCATCCAAAAATGAAAATTCTGAGTTTCTTTCTTCTGTTGAGCACAAAAGAAGATATTATGAAGAATGTTGGCAACCAAACAGCTGACGGTAGCATTGACTTCCATAGTATTTTTTATTTTTTTTTACTATGAAAGTCAATGGCCACTGTCAACTGTTTGTTTACCAACATTCTTCAAAATATCTTCTTTTGTGCTCAACAGAAGAAAGAAACTCAAACAGGTTTGGTTTGGAAGAAATTGAGGGCAAGACGGGCATTTTTTTTTAGGGCATTTTTGGGTAAACTATCCCTTTAAATCTTATACTTTTTTCAAGGCATAAACATGTTCGAGTTTTCAAACTTTGCCGGCTATCAACATAAAAATTACTTCAGTTTTGGCTATAATTCTAATAATACGCACTAATGACTACTGGCACAAATATGACTTCAGTTTTAACTATATTTCTAATAATAATCACTAATGACTAAGTGGCATTGCAGTCACAGCCATTATTGAAGGCCACTGAACAGTAAACGCAACACTCTCATCAGCCCATGGGCACAGACTTGGATCATGTCCATTGCTGTCAGACAAGCTATTGAATGTCACAATCTGACATTTGAGAAAGAAACTCTTTAAGTAAACAAACAAAATATCCAGAGATTTTTAAAGCATTTAAGAAAACAACAAAAACTGATTTGACGTTCATTATTTCCCCTCTCGAAAATCGAACTCCTAATTATCTTAAGATACCAAAATCCATGCAAACAAACATAATAAAATGATTAATTACCCTCACATTCACTCATTGTTCTCTGAGTGCTGTCTTACATAATGCCTGTGCTTTAGTGTGACATTCTGACTAATTAATTAAGAACTCTGAGCATCAGAAAAACAAACACACACACGTTCATTCAGCACTCATGGTTGTGGTAAATTTTTTTAATGCTAACCCAACCAAATAAACTAAAATTCATAAGCAAGTTTATTTGAAAAAATAGTTTTGAGTCATTAAAAAGTGGCCAAGCGAAAAACTCGTTGTTGTACCTGAAAGGGTGTTTGTCCTCTGTAGTTTTTGACGTCTTTGCTGGCTCCTCGAACCAGAAGAACCCTGGCACACTTTTCCTTCAGAAGAAAAGCAGATGATAGAGAAATTAATTCAACGCTATCCAACTCAAGAAAACGTTCTACTATTTGATCCTCGACATTCTAAGAGCAAAATTAGACACGTCACAAGGTATCCCGCCTCACCCAGATCCAAAAGTGACAGACTTCGCCCTCAGCTTTGTGAAGTCCAATTCAAGTGTGATGCTACAGCAAAGTCTACACCCAAAGAGAAAGGAGAGGGGGTCTGCAGCAATGCCTATGTGCATGTGTGACCGTGAATGTGAGAACCAAAAGCAGAAAGACAGAGAGAGAGAGAGTGAGAGAGAGAGAGAGAGAGAGAGAGATCCAGGGCTCTGTAGCTCTCCAGCCCACTATATCCAGCTGGATTCAACAGCCCACCCACGGAATGCCTCTCCACTAAACCGACACACACACACACAATCGCACACATACACACACCTCCATTGCCTTCTCCTCCTACCTTCCTTCTAATACTAGTTTCACAGCTGCTGCCAGCCCTTGTATATGAGACATAATCACATGTGAGGATGCGGCTTCTATTTTCCGCACATGAAAATATCCCTGGCCTGCATTTGGCACCGGTTACAGGTTCCTCGTTGACATGGTGACAGATGGGCGCAATCGGGGTTTAATCGCAAACAATCGAGGCTCGAGAACCTGCCCTTGACTGCGGCGAAACTGACCAACGAAACAAATTAAGCATCTTTCACCAAAGGCTAGCTAAGCGTCAACTTTAATAACAGCTCGTAGTGGCCGATCATTACAGACGTGTGCTTCAAATAACGACCCCATTGGTCGGCTCAGGGTGAACACGGCATCATACGTGACCAGCAGTGAACTCAAGAGCCTCCACAAATCAATAAATGACACTTGTCATCGGCAGAGCCATTTTCACAAATAAACTTTAGTTTCTGCTCATAAGATCATAGGAGGACAATTGCGATTTGTTTCAAGTGTATTTAAAGACATCAGCAATTCAGAATCATAGAAAAGCAATAAAAGAAGACAACATGAATTTCTTGAATTTTGTTTTCATAGTCAATGCCACAATTTATTTATTTGATTAATCCTAGAAATTAATTGATGTCCTAAAAACAGGAATCCTAAAATCCTAAAAAAAACAACAACAAAAAAAACATATTTAAAAATATTTATTCTTTAAAAAAACAAAATGGCATAACATCCCAATTAATATTAATGTTAAAATACATACAAACACATACATATACACACACATACATACATACACACATATTGTGTGTATGTGTATGTGTATGTGTGTGTGTGTGTGTGTGTGTGCGTGTATATATATCTATATATATATATATATATATATAAATTAACCAAAATTAAACAACTAAGTTATTCATTTTTTATTTGATCAGAGAATTAGAACCCTAAAATTCTGTTTGTTTTCAGGTTTGAAAAGATTTATATAAATAATAAATAATAAAAAATTATATAAATATAAGTTGATTATTTATTTTGACAGATTTTATAAAATAAATATATAAATATATACTAAAACTTCCTATTTAAAAATAATTGGATATATACTTAGAAATACAAACTTAAACTTCTTTAAATATATATATAAATATATTATATCTTCTTCTTTTTGGGGGGAAAAATTACAGGCTTTCCAGTTCAATAAATTAGCTCTAGGTGATACCTACAATATATAACTCTATATTTATATTTATTCCATGACAGACTGTGAGTGACAGTTCAATTTTAAAATGAGACTTTAAGATAGTACAACAAATTGAACTCTACATTTATTTCTCACTTTTTCAGATCTCATATATAAGGCCTTACTAGAAGGATACAAAAGAACAATAAAAAAGTGGGATACACTGTGGATGTGGGATCAATATGGCCTACGACACAGCAGGAATATGATGTTATATACGGAGCGACAGTGAATATTGCTAGCACTAGCAGTTCCAGCAGACAATGGCACCCATGCTGTGACCCCGAGCCGACGGAGCAGACTAGATCTCCCACAGAGGAAACATAAGGTGATTATCTGCCTGGCTGCTTAGTGTCGTGAACGTAATGGGCCGTTGTCCATTCATAAACACTGAATACTGGTGCTAATTGTCATGAGTGTTCCAGCTGATTCCAGTTCAGCTCGAGGTTTATCGTGGATAGAATGGGAGACAATGGTGAATAATGACCAGGGTAATTAGTGGCAGTCGATCATTGGCATTTATACAAATGAACATGGCATAATTTCAGCCCCATGAGACAGGGATATATACAGCATATATTTTTAATAAAATATTTATAAATAATATTTTGTATTATGTATTTTATAATAATATTTAACATTAGTAAAACAATTAGTTCTATCATGCATTAAAACATGTTTTGTTTTGTTTTATTTTAAAGAAAGACATTTGGTAACACTTTACTTGAAGGGGTGTGCATAAGACTGACATGACACCTTCATAATCATGACATGACACATGTCATGAATATGAAGGAGGTTTTATGCATGTTTATGACAACTGTCATTATGTGTCATTCGCTCAGTTATGTCATTTTTAATGCGAATATGACATTATTTGACCAAACCCTAATCTAACCCTACCCCTACCCTTACCCCTAACCATAGCCCATAACAAAGACATCTCAAGCAATGTCATCTTTGCATTAAAAATTACATAACTGAGCGAATGACACATAATGACAGTTGTCATAAACATGCATAAAAAACCCTTCATATTCATGACATGTGTCATGTCATGATTATGAAGGTGTCATGTCAGTCTTATGCACACCCCTTCAAATAAAGTGTAACCAGACATTTTTTTACAGTTTAATCCTGAAGATTCTCCCAGAAAGTTTCTCTGCTGCACTCAATCTCAGCTCTCGGGCCCTGGGGCCATTGATTTTTCCCTCGAAACGTTATTGATCCACAAAGAGAAAACAACATTGTTTTTATATTCTCCTATTGACAGTGTATTCTATTGTATGATGCCAATAACCTCTGTTTATTGACTGTTTAAAAGGAGCTGACTTTGGATCATTAAATGCACAGCGTGAGTACATACCTGCTTGTACAGAGCGCAGATATGGAGAGCCGTATTCCCAGATGCATTTTCCACATGCATGTCAGCTCCGTAGAACAAGAGATGCTCCAGGTGCTGAATGTGGCCGTATCGACAAGCCTGACGAACAAAATAGGAACAAGTTTCACACAGCATATCACTTTAGTGAGAAAAATCAGCAAACGGATTTTATAACAGTTTATGCTAAAAGAAAAGCTTTTGTGAGCCTTTCAAAAATTCATGCAGAAGTCTTTTGAAACATAAAAACATTATTAAGCCTTCAGTACGCTGTCATCTCATATTTTTCAAAGGGTCTAAAAGTAAACCATACATGCTGCTTTTCTGTTTTCCCAGTAGAGTGTGATCAAAAACACCACGGAAACAATGTGACTGGCATCCTGCAGTCCACCTGTCACAACACTAGATGTCAGTACGCCGTCACAACAGACGGACTTGATGATGCCTTCAACTAGTTTGATCTCGTCATCTGTTCGTTAATTGAACAAAGCTGCTGTCATATTAAACTGCAGCTCTATTATGCATATATTACCCCACGCTCAACATTTTTAGCCAACAGAAAGGTTTTTCTCTGACTGTCACCATGTGAAAGACAGCGGCACCTGGTGGATCTCGTGCCAGCCGTTCTCATCGTGGCATCCCACGCTGGCATGGGCTCTCAGAAGGACCTCGCAGCAGCTTGGGTCTCCCCCTACAGTCACTGTGTGGTAGAGTGGAGTCAAACCCTGCCGGTCCTTATAGTCTGGAGATGCTCCCAAATCCAACATAGTCTGCAGAGAGAAAAGAGGATTAGGTTTCCTTCAGAGAGGAAAATATGCCAAATATGATATTATGATTATGTTTTAGCAGAGCCTTGTTTTTTGGAAGGGTCTTAAAGGATGAAAGGACTAGTTTTCTGTTGGGACTTTTTCAGCGTTTTTAAAGGGGTGGTTGATTGCGATTTCACTTTTTTAACGTTAGTTAGTGTGTAATGTTGCTGTTTGAGCATAAACAATATCTGCAAAGTTACGAAGCTGAAAGTTCAATGCAAAACAAATTCTGGCGGTTTAATGCCTACAAAAACGGCTGGTAGGGACTTCAACAAGTTACTTCCCAGGTTCGTGACATCACAAACCCAGATAAACCCCGCCCTCGGGAAAATGCAGCAAAGGGGGTGAGGCCATGCTGTGCTGCTTTAGAGAAGAGGAAGAGAAAACTAGAGGTGCACGTAAAAATCTGTTCATGAATCGCGATTCTGTCTTCTAACCATTCTAATGGATTCACAAGTTTCAAAATCAATGTTTAAAAGCAGCGGTTCTTAATACTGTTCCTCGCATCACCTGCTCGGCCTCTCTCTCTCTCTCATTCAGATCATCAGCTCAGTTCTGTTCCATTTATACACTTATTTTCACATAGCTATGAGAAGCGTTATACATGCGGTTGCTGTACTGTATTAAAGCTTTAATCAGGACAAAACCGTATGTTAAAAGCTAACATAAGCAGTAGAATTGACAAATAACAGCATATCTAAAAGTACGAGACAACAACAAACAAAAAACATAGGCCTACCATTAAAAGCCGTGCTTGCACAGGTTCTGCACGATCCTCTTCAATAATATCCTCTGCTTCTCAGTCGGGCTCAAACTGATATAGCTTATTAACGACGACGTTGTTTACAATACAATCGGAGCACATGCCGATGAGGTGAGGGGGGGACGTTTAGACGCGCACTAGAGGCGGTTTAGCCAATTACAACACACTGGGCTAGCTAACCAATCAGAACCCATCGCCTATTTCTGAGGGCGGGGCTTCATAAAAACAGGAAAAGATCAGCCCGTTTCTCAGAGAAGGGACAGAGCCGTGTCGAATAAAGGTAAATTATGTGAAAAATAATGAGTTTTTAAAAAAACAAAGCATTAACACATGTTAGACTGCACCCCATAAACACAATCAAGCCTAGAAAAAAACCAGTGAACCACCCCTTTAATGTTCAAGTGTGATAAGACAAATGAAAAATAAAGGCTTCTTTTTGTTTACACTACTGTTTAAAAGTTTGAGGTTGGTAAACGTTTTAATTGTTTTGAAAGAAAACTCTCATGCTCAACAAGGCTGCATTTATTTTGTAAAAAATACACTAAAAAGTTGTGAAATATTTCTATTTTAATATATTTTAAAATATAATTTATTCCTATGATGGGAAAGCTGAATTTTCAGCATCATTATTCCTGTCTTTAGTGTCATATGATCCTTCAGAAATCATACTAATATGCTGATTTGCTGCTCAATAAACATTCATATTATTAGTATCAATGTTTAAAGTTGTGCTGCTTAATTTTTTTTCTTATGGAAACCAGGATACATTTTCAGAATTATTTAATAAATAGAATGTTCAAAACAACAGCATTTATTATAAATGTGTTTACTGTCGCTGTAGATTAATTGAATGCATCCTTGCTGAACTGCATTGTTTATTTATTTCTAAAATAAAATAAAATAAAATAAAATAAAATAAAATAAAATAAAATAAAATAAAATAAAATAAAATAAAATAAAATAAAATAAAATAAAATAAAATAAAATAAAATAAAATAAAATAAAATAAAATAAAATAAAATAAAATTAAATAAAATTAAATAAAATAAAATAAAATAAAATTAAATAAAATTAAATAAAATAAAATAAAATAAAATTAAATAAAATTAAATAAAATAAAATAAAATAAAATTAAATAAAATTAAATAAAATAAAATAAAATAAAATTAAATAAAATTAAATTAAATCTTACTGACCCCAAAATTTTGAACAGCACTGTATATCAGAAAAAGTGTGAATTGAATTATAATCAATCATTAAACATTCACTTAACATTTTGGATGTCAAACACAACAAATATTATAAAACTTATAAAACTTGTAATGAAAAAATGTGTAATGTAAACATGTATGTAAAACAATACATATATGCATGTAAACGAATCTGCTTGATTTTTTATTTTTTATTATTTTTATTTTTTTTAGATAATGCCTTTGGGAGTTTTTATTCAATTTTACACAGCCAAGCAGTTTCATAAGTACATTTTCGTTTCGTAACTAAATGAACTACAAGTACTTTTTCCTTCTAAAATTACGAAACCCAGCCACTCAGTAATGAAAATAGGAAATCTATGGCTCTAGCACTTCGAAATGACATAAACCAAGATTCTCCATGAAGCCTTCTTAAATAAATGGCCAACAAGCAATATACTGCAAGAGCAACGGTAGACAGGAAATTGTGTTTTACAATATTCAGGGCACAAAACAGTGGTACATCAGCAGTATTATTTCCAATTGTTGTCAAGGGAAGAAAGCAACAATGAAATAATGAAAAAAAAAACTTAATTACTGATTAATTTTAAATAAACAAAACAGAGTGTGCTTTGAATAAAAGTACAATCTGTCAAAGTAATAAATGTACTGTAAACTCAGCTGCATCACTGACACTGTAAGATGTCACTGTACTGCTCTGTGTTAGATCAACAGCAGCTCAGTAATGAAAATAGGAAATCTATGGCTCTAGCACTTCGAAATGACATAAACCAAGATTCTCCATGAAGCCTTCTTAAATAAATGGCCAACAAGCAATATACTGCAAGAGCAACGGTAGACAGGAAATTGTGTTTTACAATATTCAGGGCACAAAACAGTGGTACATCAGCAGTATTATTTCCAATTGTTGTCAAGGGAAGAAAGCAACAATGAAATAATGAAAAAAAAAACTTAATTACTGATTAATTTTAAATAAACAAAACAGAGTGTGCTTTGAATAAAAGTACAATCTGTCAAAGTAATAAATGTACTGTAAACTCTGCATCACTGCATCACTGACACTGTAAGATGTCACTGTACTGCTCTGTGTTAGATCAACAGCAGTCATTCTTACAAAAACAACAAGACAATCAAAGAAGAGGATCACTCTAACACAGCCATAAGCTCATAAGATCAGCATGAGGTCATTTATTACCTTAAGAGCTATCTGGTTCTTTGCCCTGGCTGCTTTGTGCAGGGCAGTCATCCCATCCCGAGAGCGGAAATCTAAATGAGCCCCGCCGTTTTTCAATGTAACTATAATCTCCACCATATTGTCCAGGTGGGCCGCAAGGGTTAGTGGTGTCTCTGCAGACCAGAAGCACAAAAACAAGTTCATTAAAATTTATTAGGTTAATCTCTCTTAATAAACGTAAGACATTAGTCAAGGGATTTGTGTTTTATCAAAACAATAACTAGATTTAAATTAAATGTATAATATTGTACTATATGCGTTACAGTTGTGCTAAACAATAAAAAAAACTAATATATAGATGATATTGTGAGACTGTAATTGCATCTTTATTTGGGACTTTAGACAATGTAAATATAAAGATAAAATTACAAATATAAATACCTTGTAAAAGTTTGGGGTCAGTAATTTTTTTTTCAAAGAAAACAAATGTTTTATTTATTTACTTATTTATTTATTTGAATTTTATTTATATATATATATATAAAATGGCAGAGTATATTTCATAGCTAGCATTTTATGTTTTTTAAATTATACAAATAATATTTTCTCACAGCTTGACTGAAAATGACACAAAATATTCTGTTGACAAGTAGTATTGAGCTTGATTTTTCTTCACACATCACATCTCATGAATCAAACATGCTCTTCACTGATACTGTTGTTTCCTTGGAAAAACATTGTTCTAAATTTCCACACATGTTCTTTTATGGATCAGCATAGTTTTAAATATGTAATAATTCCTATTTGTATGATGGATTTTCATAGTTTAAGTTTGAAAGTCTGGGTCAAGGACCAGGGATAACCAATCAAATCTGTACACAAACAGAAAAATATGTTTAAAAAAATATATAATTTTCCAAGACAGTTTCAATGTGGCCTTTTATATAACAAACAAATGAATATGTTTTAATAAAAAGTCAACCCAAGGGATATGCAACCAAAAATATATATATATATTTATATATTTTTTTTTTTTATGAATAAATTTGACTTATTCAGCAAGGATGTATTAAATAGGCCAAAAGTGATAGTAAAGACATTTATACTGTTACAAATGTTTTCTGTCAAACAAATGTTCTTTTGAACTTTCTCTTCATCAAAGAATCTTGAAAAAATATGGTTTTCACAAAAATATTAAGTAGCACAACTGTTTTTAACATTAATAATAAGAAGAAATGTTTCTTAAGCATCAAATCAGCATCTTAGAATGATTTCTGAAGGATCATGTGACACTTAAGACAGGAATAATGTGTGCTGAAAATTCAGCTTTGCAATCACAGGAATAAATTACATTTGAAAATATATTCAAATAGAAAACTGTTATTTTTCACAATATTATTGCTTTTACTTTGATCAAATAAATGCCGTTTTGGTGAACATAAGAGACTTCTTTCAAAAACATTAGGAATCTTACTTAACCCCAAATTTTTTAATAATAGTGTATATAAATATAATAAAATATAAACCTACATAATAAACCATATTGTTCTTTTGCAGCATAATATATCGATTATACAGATTAGAATATATAGAATATAGATATATAGTTAGAGTATACTTTTAGTATTGTACAGATTTATAATCTCTGCCATCATATCCATTAACTGACAAAAAATTTTTTAATTATCGCTAACAGTATTGGTGTATTCCAAAGAATACATGCAATTCAACACAGGATATGGCCATGAGATTAAATCAGTGAGTAAATATGTTAAATATAAACTGCTTAAATACAATGTAATGGTCCGACTACACCATATTGATTAAAAAGGAAACAATATAATGATGCAGTAAAGTAATCAGTCTGGAACTGTAGCTGGGCAACAAAGCCCGAATAGTCATTTATGTGCAATTTTGGAGTTTATCTAATATGGCATCCCATACCACCAGTTTCAGGGTCATGATAGTTGGGGTCCAACCCTCTTTCCAACATTTTGGAGACTTTGTCCACCTGATGATGCTGAATATACTCCATAAATGTCCTCAGGTTGACCTAAAAGTAGGTTTGAGAGAGAACAAGAGTGCAGGTGAGGTTAAACAAGAAACACTGACAGCTAATGATTGAGGCGGAAGTTAAGATACAGGAGCGAGTGATGGCAATGAATGGTTGGCAAGAGTGTGAAGGCACACAGCAGTGAACACACACAAACCGTGAACACACACCCGGAGCAGTGGGCAGCCATTTATGCTGCGGCGCCCGGGGAGCAGTTGGGGGTTCAGTCCCTTGCTCAAGGGCACCTCAGTCGTGGTATTGAAGGTGGGAGAGAGCGCTGTACATTCACTCCCCCCACCTACAATCCCTACTGGTACGAGACTCGAACCCACAACCTTTTGGGTTATGAGTCCGACTCTCTAACCATTAGGCCACGACTTCCCCAGTTATATTTAGGATTGATTTTAAAGTACTTTTACTCGTTTATAAGGACCTAGGACCTAAATACATTGCAGATATGCTCACTGAATATAAACCTAACAGACCACTCAGATCATTAGGATCGAGTCAGTTAGAAATACCAAGGGTTCACACAAAACTAGGGGAGTCTGCATTTAGTTATTATGCCGCCTGCAGTTGGAATCAGCTTCCAGAAGAGATCAGATGTGCTAAAACATTAGTCACATTTAAATGCAGACTCAAAACTCATCTGTTTAGCTGTGCATTTACTGAATGAGCACTGTGCAATGTCCGAACTGATTGCACTGTATTTTATGTATAATCATGTTCTATTCTTAACTGTTTTAAATTCATTTTAAACCACTTAAATCAATTTTGAAATCATTTTCAAAGTTTTAAATTCCTTGTTTTATTGTTGTGATTATTTGTTTTATAATTTTTTCATTTCTTTTATGTAAAGCACTTTGAATTACCTTTGTGTATGAAATGTGCTATATAAATAAACTTGCCTTGCCTTACTTTTTAAATGTATATACCTGCATGTTTTTGTTGCATATATATCTGTTCTAGATTCAATTAATTGAGAGAGAGAAAGAGAGAGAGAGAGAGAGAGAGGCAGCACAGCTGATTTGGCAAGGCAAAGAGTTAGAGACCACTTGGCAAGCTACGGCATGCTACGAACACACGTCAACTCTTACGCACAACACAGTACACGCACAAAGACCTCCAACACAATAGAGTAAGTGCCATATTCGCACAAAACATTGGAGTTTGCATTATTTAACTTCTGGATCCCATCCTACCAACACTAGCTTTCAATAATTCACACCTCAATGCTTGCTAACAACTTTAAACCCATTAGGCTAACTACAATGTAGAGATGTCACCTAGTGCAATGACAACATTTATCCTCTTACACTGTAAAAAGTACTTTGTGGGTGTTAGCTTACAAAAGTCACCTAAAACTTGTTTATTCATTCAGAAATATTATAATAAATACGATAACCTGAAAATGTTAGCGATTAAAGTTTGAGCGGTTAGCATAGTTAGCATGGTTAGCCTCTGCTGGGAGATGCCTTAACTACACTTTTTTATGGTGAAAAAAGCATTCTCCATTGATAGTCATTTGAAAGTAGCCATATATTCTGATCAAATACATTTTCTGCAACATATAAATTGCAAATATTTCATAAAATCACTTAGAAACAAATATTTTTCTGTCAGCTACCTTTGTCATCATAGCTCAGGACAGTTGCTAATAAATGGCTTGTCCATGTTCTTGTGCTGTCATTTGCCAGGTAACGTTGTCATGATGTTATTTTCATGCAGTTTCAGAATGAGTCACAATATATTTACTGGCTCCCAAAATAAAAATAAATAAATAAATAATAATAATAATAATAATAATAACCGGGACTAATGGTGCGTTCATGGTAAGTTTGCATTGACGAGTTGAGAAGCCATAATTATGACATCAGGTGATTTCAGATCACTTTGGTGACCTTTTCTACAAAAACATTAATAAGTCAAGTCAAGTCACCTTTATTTATATAGCGCTTTTAACAATACAGATTGTGTCAAAGCAACTGAACAGCATTAATTAGGAAAATAGTGTCAATAATGCAAAATGACAATAGTAAACACTCATTTTTCAGTTAAAGACAGTTCATCATTGAATTCAGTGATGTCAACATCCAGCTCAGTTTAAATAATATCTTTGCAATTATGTCAACGATAACGCTGGAAATGAAGTGTCCCCAAAAATAATTAATAAAAAAATACAGACTCTACTTCTACAAAATGCTAAATAATTCATGTTTATTCAATTTATGAAGGCACTATCTAACTGAATCGTTATATCTGAATCGTTATAAATTTGTCATACTTGTACAATAATACTGCATTTTGTACATGCGACTTAGCTAGTTTTATTGTAAATGAAAAGTAATTTCATACACTTCAACAAACCGGCGATCTATTGCAAACACTTCATCCATTGCATTCGCCATGTTTTCTCACTGACACACCCGAAACATTCTGGCCTCAAAGAAAATCCACATAATTGTGGTGGCGTTCATGTGCGTTAAACTTTTAAATGCACTCTTTCCAAAATAAGCAAAGATGGCAGAATTTATTTATGCACCAGCCGAGCAACTACCATTGAGTTCAATTGAGTTCAAACAGCCGGCTTTCTTCAGTTATTAAAGTTCTCCTTGGGTTACGCCAATAAACATTATTTTTAAGAGTCTGATCAGGTAGAAATATCTCTTTAAGGTAACAACTACACCTTTTAATTTTTTATAATGCAGTCAGATTTTAAAAGCAAACCCCTCTAAGCGTTTGCTTCCATTGAATGTATAATGCACTGACATTCGGTATGATCTGAGGTGAATATCTGCTCCTCTGAAACAAGGACGTACACAAAGCTGTTCCTACGTCACCCTTTACAAACCCTGCCGGCTTACGGAGCTGTAATATAATAACTTATTAAGGGAGCTTGAAAGCTCAGAGCAATGAGAGGGAGAGTTTTAAATGCTGAGGGAAGCAGTGTGGGGACGGGAGATAAATAGGCTGAGCAATAAAGAGCACAGGACATATAGTGCTGGAAGAAGCCGGCAATTAAAACTTGGTCCGGAGCTTCGGGGCTGCTTTTGGGGGAGAAGCGTGGAATAACCTCCTCCGGTGATTGCAAAAACGTTCATGACCACAGAGGAAAACCTGGCCGAAACACTAAAACGTCAACATCAATGACCATCTCGACCCGAAAATCCTGCTAAGTCCAAATGTATGCAAATGCTCCGGTCTGCTGCATTATTTAGCAGCAGACTCTAAAATGAATGTTGTACGGTAGATATTCAATCTTAGCAACAGAAAACTAGATTTTCAAACATTTCTTGCCTGTTTTAACAGCCGTATCCCAAGACGCCCTCTCCTGCTTGCAATTAAGCAAATAGCTTCTATTTGATATGTATGTAAAAGACTCAGTTATCATAACGGAACTTAAGTTAATCACCACCTGCGCATCAAAAATAGACACATTTTGACAAATATACATAGTAGGCTAATCTACATATGTCAAAGCAACACTTTTACCAAAAAATAAAAAAATCTTACCTGTGTGTGGAGTTTTTCAATTTGCTTTTCGTTGACGTTTGGCTGCTGGTACACTCTGCTCTTATAGCGAAACTGCAAAATCAAATCAGAGAGAAAAATGCAGTCTGTTTATATGCTCGATTGGTTTTAATTTAGAAATTAATAAGTATTCTATGGATGCCCATTTCCACCATTGAGGGGGGGAAAAAAAAGAAAAGTTAATTGCGACTTTTTATCTCACAATTCTGACTTTTTTTCCTCATAATTGCGTGATACAAACTCGCAATTCTGACTTTTTTCTCAGAATTGTGTGATATAAACTCGCAATTGTGCGTTAAAAAGTCATAATTGTAAGATATAAACTCGCAATTCGGAGAAATAAAGTCAGAACTGCGAAATATAAACTCACAATTCGCAATTGCGAGTTATAAAGATATAAACTCGCAATTCTGAGAACATATTAGTCCCCCCACCCCTTCAAAATTGTACTTTAACTCACAATTGCATTATAAAGTCAGAATTCTGACAATACAAGTAAGAAATATAAACTCGCAATTGTGAGAAAAAAAGTCAGAATTGCAAGTTTTTAACTCGCAATTGTGACTTTATATCTCGCAATTCTGATTTTATAACTCGCAATTGTGAGTTTATATCACGCAATTCTGAGAAAAAAATTCAGAATTGTGAGATAAAAAGTCGCAATAGCCTTTTTTTACATTTTTTATTCAGTGGCGGAAACGGGCATCCATAGTATTCAGTCTAACAAATTAAACATTTTGACGTAAAATACACTTACAATAATCTAGAGATAATACAGTTTTAACTAAAAAGTACCATGGTGAAAAAAAAAATATTAAAAATATCATAGTACCTTAATAAGACAATTATTTAGGACCCTATTTTATATCAGATCACTAAAGTATTATGGTACCAGCACGTTTTTTGTAATCAAGAGGGCATACAAATAATTTATAGAATTTTAAGCTCAAACAAATGATAAAATAAAAATATGTTTCATTATACTCCATTTGCAGCTCTTTTTGGCTGGTCTCTGCCTTGATAGAGATATGATTATATCAGGCCTTGGGGCTTGAATAAACATACAAGAGAACTACAAAAGGTTCCAGTTACACCAGCCTGACATCAGCCTTTTCAGAGAGAGAGCTGAGAATGCTCCTGTACAGAAAGCACATCTTAAAAAAGGATGCCAGCCTCATATCCCTGCATTGGTAGCAATTTATAGCAGTTCTCATCACTGTCAAAACTATTTTGTCATTGGGATCATCCTTGACATAAATAATAAATATGAATGGATATTTTTTTTTTTATTACTTATATTAATTATTGTTCATGTTGAATACAACAAACAAATAACTATTTGAGTTTTTTTAATTATAAAACAAATAAATAAAATTTTATAAAAACAACAATAACTGCTGTGTTTACAGCAATGCACTGAGAAATGATTAATGAAGAAATCTTAAATAAGGACTCCAACTTTACATTGCTGTATTGGTAGCAGTTTATAGCAGTTATCATCACGGTCAAAAACCATTTAGTCATTTTCCTTGACATAAAAAATAATTATAAATGGGCATTTTTACTCTTAAATAAATTATTTGGATAATTATTGTTAATGTTGACTACAACAAAAAACTATTCAGATTTTTTTTCTTTAATTGTAAAAATTAATAAATAATATGAAATTTAAAAAAACAACAATAATAAAATCTGTTTACGGTAATGCATTACAATGGAAGTCTATGTAAGCATATTACACTCCCAATACATTAATTTAGCTAATTATTAATGATTGTTGATGATGATTACCAATTCTAATGATCTATTAACTGTTAAAAAAAAAATATTTTGAAAAACTAAAAAGAATATGCATGGTCATTTCTTCTCAAAATAAAATTATTCCGATTTTTTATATTAATTATTGGTCAATCAATTTTGGTTAGTTTCTTAATTTAAATAAAAAAACATGAATGAATGAATGAATGAATGAATAGCAATAAAACAATGATAAAAGTTGTTTTTATACTAATGCACTGTCAATGGATGTCTAGGGGGCAAGTATAAAAGCATAAATATGAAACTCACATATTTGGCAAAGCACTTCAACTGATTGTTTCATACTAAAATGTGTGCAATTTGAGCTTTAAAGTTCAGTGATGGCACTGCTGTTCTAGGCAGATTAACTTCTAGTTCAGCGTCTACCAGCATAATTCCTGTGGATGTTTGTGAAAGTGCTTTGCAGATAGTGATGTCCCATGTCCCTTTCTGGTATCCTTGCACGTATTGTGTCAAAGTTACATCATGGATCGAGCTTAAGTTGACTCCGCAACATTCAAGCAACAAACTAGTGACGCGTTACCTCAAGGGTTGGAACGCCTTTATTGGTGGATAGCGGATAGTCTCTCAGGGGCCGTTCTTCCTCCAGGAAACCACTCTCCCTCCCGTCCACCGCTGGCTGGAAGAGCCCGAAGTTGAGCACATCCCTCAGACTCTGTGTGAGTGTACACAGGATCTGCTGCTTAGCAACCCATACTGTGGCATCAGGACTGAACCTCATGGATTTCTGGCAAAGCCACAGAGAGAGAGAGGAGACAGAGACAGAGAAACGCTCTATCAGGCCATAGCAGGTGTACAGATTAACTAGGGGAAAACATTTGTGAGCTAAAATGTTCAAAAGGGAGAAAACAACAGGAGAAAACAAATAATGTGTTATGACGTTATTTGGTGTTGGTTGACTAACAGAATGACATTATATGATTAAGATAAAATTTAAATGGTTATATCATAAATTTTTTTAGCATTTTTGTGGGTCCCTGAGGTCATTATTTAATTTCTCGTGAACATTTCAACCCTTTTTGGACCTTACAAATGAACCAGTAATAAGTGTTTAGGTGCAGTCACATTATTGAAATGTCAGCGGGCAGAAAAGATTGATTGTCTATTGTGAATAGTGTAGCGATGTATGAAACAGCTCACATAGAAGTCACTTTCAAACTAAGTAGTTTTCGATTGATTAACTTGAACCCTTGTTGCAAAATTTGGAGGAGGAATCTTTCACCCACAAACTAAAGTCCCCATTGCATGGATTCCTATTGAAATTACTTGAGTTTGCCCTTAGAACAGCTGTAAAAGTGACTGTACACTGTAAAAAAAAATCTGTGACATTTACGGTAAAATACCGGCAGCTGTGGTTGCCAGAACTTCACCGTAAAAAAATATGCAACATTTTAGGTTTTACAGACTTAACTTAAATTCACAATAAAATACAGTATTTCATTAACTGATGTAATGTTAATAAACCAACATATTGAAGTACTAATATTTGTTTTGAACCATTGTAAAGCACTGATAACCACCAAAACTGGTGGTGATGAGAAAGTCACGTGATGGACCAAAGCTAATCACAAACAGCTTTTCGACGAGCTGAGGAGGGCAATACTTATATATAGAAGGTGCACAGTGTCATTCACGCAAACACTAAACCCCATCATGGTGACACACATGATACTGAAATAATGCAATAAACATTCATTTAACAACATTAGATGTAAGATTAAACCCTAATGTACACAACTGATAAGAAAAAACTAAGAAGAAACATGTTATTTCAACAAAAAAACCCCATCAAATATTAAGTATCATGCAGGGAATTCTGAGAGTGACAGTTTGTCACTGTAAATCATACAATTACGTTTTCTTTTTCACTTCCAAAAACTGTATTTTAACAGTATTTTACTGTAAAATTACATTAAATGCAATTACATTTATTCACCAAATATTGTATGGAAACTTACTGTTAACCAGTTAATAGATTTTTACTGTAGCATTTTTACAGTATTTTACTGTTAAAATCACAATCCGTTTTTACAGTGTACCATAAAGTAAAAGTACTCACCATCAGGCCATCCAAGATGTAGATGAGTTTATTTCTTCATCAGAACAGATTTGGAGAAATTTGGCATTACATCACTTGCTCACAAATGGATCTTCTGCAGTGAATGGGTGCCGTCTGAATGAGAGTCCAAACAGCAGATAAAAACATCACAATAATTCGCAAGTAATCCACACTCAACTCGAATCCATTAATTAACATCTTATGAAGTGAAAAGTTGCATGTTTGTAAGAAACAAATCCATCATTTTTAACTTCAAACCACTGCTTCATGCTAAAAAATACAAGGCCTCTATCTATAATATGGCTTTCACCAGTGAAACGGTCATCTTGTCTGAGTCAGGGGAGAAATATGTACAGATCAAGCACAATTTATAAGTGAAAACAGTCCAAAACAATTCTAATCAAATATGATTATGATGTGAGAGGACAACAGCGGGTGCACTTTTACTAGAGAAAGAGCCATTGTGGATTATGGACTCTATTTTGGCCCGAAGTGATGGTTTAAAGTTAAATGCTCTAATGATGGATTTGTTTCCTACAAACATTCAGCCTTTCGCTTTACAAGATTTTAATGAATGGACTAGAGTCGTGTAGATTAGTTGTGGATTATTGTGATGTTTCTATCAGCTGTTTGGTCTCTCATTCTGACGGCACCCATTCACTGGATCCATTGGTGGGCAAGTGATGTAAATGCTAAATTTCTCCAAATCTGTTCTGATGAAAAAACAAACTCATCTCAGATAATTTACTTTAATAGTTCAATAAACTCATTACATTTTTAGCAATTTTTAATAGTTGGGTGAACTGTTCCTTTAACTGTACTTTAAAGGCACATAAAATTAAGTTTTGTGTCTTTTAGCCCATATGGAGGCTTTGAAATCATTTATATATGCTGCTGGTATTGTAAACTCCTAAATACTGACAAAATTCCCTTTCAGCAGATATAGGCATTCAAAATGTACACTCTTTCACTTCAGGTAAAACAAACTATAAATATTAAAGACTCAACCTGCACTGCACAGATTTCTGTCCAATCAAATGCTCTCCCAGAATGTCCTTCCCACTAATGCAATCTGCAGATAACTAGCATATTTAGCATATATTGACTAAATTGAGGTGCCTTTCGATACGTCCCACCTGAATGTCTTGTTTCTTGGAATACAATAAAGAATACTCTTATCAGAATAACAGCATCTTGTTCATTTTGTGTTTAGAGCTAATAAAATCTATCCTACCTCCTCCTTATTCCCTCACTGTGACGGTATTGTTGACAAGTAAATGCAGAATATGGAAAGCTAAGATAATTGTAACGCTCAATAAATGTGACACTGGCAATAACTTGCACAATATACTAACCATAACCACATCAGCTATGTGCAAACACAATTCAATCCTCTGCTTCCTCCCAAAATAACAGTTTCAGTAATGACAGACAGATATTTTTAAAGATCCTGTTTTGAGAGAGAGAGCAATAAAAATTCCTTGGTGATTTTCGGTTTTAATTTTATTTACAAATAAATCAAATTCTATATAATTTTTGGTCTGATTTGGTTTCAATTTTATCTGGCTTGCTTGAGTGTTACTGCAAAGGAAAAACCAATAAAACTATTACCTTCACATATTGAAAACACCTGTGTTAAATGACTCTACATGATATTGCTTTTCTGAACTTTCTTCATTTAAAACATGACAATGTAATTTTCTACTTTACGTGCATGAAATAGGTCAAAAATACTTGTTGCCTATCCCACTTGCATACGTTCCATTTTTTAGTCCACTAAAACCCAAACAGCTCTCCAGAGAAGGCTGAAACTGTAAGAGGGAAGCAATTTACTGTAATAATATAATTTAGAAAGATCCACATGGCCCAACAGCCTGGGGTGAAACACGAGAGAGAGAGAGAGAGAGTGTGTGTGTGTGTGTGTGTGTGTGAACGCACAGACTGCTGCAGGTCAGGGATGACCACACAGATGAGCATTGTGTCTCGCAGGCTGTCATCCAGTCGGGCGCTGGTAGGTCGATCCAGCCTGGGAGGCTCATCTCGGGAGCTATCTGATTCCGAACTGACCGAGTCCGAGAAACTCTGAGCCATTTCCTCCTCGCTAGACATGGGGCTCCGCGGCATGATCAACACTGCAGAAAGAGAGCAAATTTGAGAATAAATTCAATGGCATACACAATGCCTAAATTAAAAACTAAAGCAAACTAAATTAAATTAAACAAAAATAAAATGAAGTATTAACCAAAATATTAACAATATTAAGTAAATTCTCAATATGGTGGAAAATAAAATAAAATTAATAAGATATTATTTGCCTGTATTTCAAAGCAACACTGCAATGTAACAAAACAATGTAACCTTGTAAAGGTGAAATGCAGATAAAAACAATAATTTATAATGTAAAGATTAACATGAACTGTAAGCTGCAGCACATAAATTAATACAATTCTAATGGCCAAAATACATTTAAAAACTGCATTGCCACTAACTGTCTTTATAAAACGGCATTGAAAATAAAATAAAGTACCAACTTTAGAATTATTAACTGTAATATAAATTGGAATATATATACAGGGCTTGACATTAACTTTTTTGCTCACCAGCCACTGTGGCTAGTGGTTTTCCAAATTTATTAGCCACTCAGCATTTTCACTGGCCACAATTTTGTTGTGAAATTACGTTTTATACGACTTAATATTGCATACAAAAATGTATTTAAATTGATTTCCAGGTCATTTTTGGCCTATTTAAAGGGCATTTTCCCTGACTGTATTAAATGCATGCATCATCTTTCATATCAAATTCTTACATTTTATTAATAATTTCACTAAATATAATAAGACAATATAGGTCTGTTACCAATCAAATGAAATCAGTATCTACAAAACTGATCTTTCCACTGCAGAAGAAACAGAAGTGACTGGAGTGGCATTCAGATGCATTTACACAGATAGTTCAATGTAGTTGAAATGTAGCATGAATGCATTTACACTGTAAATGAGAACGTATGAGAACGTTTTGGGAACGTCATATTAACTTTTGGGAGCATTTTGTCGAGATAATCATATGGCGATGAAGACATCCTGGAATCGCCGCGCGGCTGCCGCCTTCTCTCTTAGTTGGAGTGTTTTGTGCGGTCTCGGGGAAGACATTGCCATAGTTACAAACAACAAGGTCACATTTGATTTTACTAAAAATAAACAAAACATAACAGAAATGCACTATATGTGTTAGTTGCTATTCATCTACTCTTCCCTGTGGATAACCTCTGACCTACTTTCTGTACGATCTGAATTTCTGCGTATTGAATTTCGAATTTGATGTACCGAATTTCTTCTTCATCTTGAAAACTTGAAGCTGTGTTTTTAAAAACGGGATATTTGCAGTCTAACAACTCAGAACAAAAAAATCAGCTGTTTGAAAATACATGTCTATTAAAAAAAACTTTCAAAGATAAGCTACTATGAAAGTAAACCGCCAGTAGGTGGCAGCAAGTGACTGTCTTAATTAATGAGTCATTGAAGCGTGCCTGTCTTTATGAATGGAACACTGAATTGACTCAAATGATTCAAAATTCAAAAACGCGAATCATTCAGTAACGAAACACCGCTGTGTTGCTCAGAAATGCACGACTGTTTCTGCTGTGATCTTTGTTTGGAACTATTTTCATTAACCAAATCGAGCAAAAACAGTCAACGTGCTGACAATATATCCTTTCAAAAATTCAAATTCAAATATTGAACTAAAATGTATATTAACTACTCATTTTAATTCTTGTATAATAGCTATGTCAAATTTGCAATCGTGGTTTTCAGGGAAAACTTCACTCTCTTGGTCGAGTCATGTTGCTTAGCTAGGCTGTATGTTATAAATATAAAACCTAAGTTTCATTTTTATGTCTCTTCTGTGTGCAGTTGTGTTGATTTGTTTTAATTTCTCCAGACAGGCTGCGTGAGCCTCAGCTGGCGTGACCTTGTTGTTATGGTTGACTATCCATTATCAATTGCCAAACGCAGAAATTTCGGTGCTTCCCTAATTAGATGTTTTAAGCAGATTAGTTGTCTGGGGCAAGTAAAATTCTCTTTTTTCACTGGTCCCTTAAGGTCGAGCTCTGTTACTGTATATTAAATTCAACCCGCCAAAGTGGTTAGTAGGAGTGACCGTGTTACCCGCCACTGCTGAAATCCACCCGCAAAAGCAAACTAATTTTAACTCTCAAGTATAGCCGAAATCACAGCACCGCTATTGTCTTTATCTTATGTGTATTTGATCTTATCAGATCATTATCTCGATTATCAGGATTTTTGTGCAGATTAACGTCTTGGAAGGGAGAGCTGGTTACGTAGTCTTAATGGGTCGTGTTTCAGTCACTATTTCATATTCATTCGGTTGTCTGACAACAGAAACAGTAAAATATATCAATGAAAACTGTTTTATTGAGAATTTAGAATTTACAAAATACAGTATGTGGGCATAGAGAGGCAAACAAATGTAATAATAAATAATAAATGTGCATTTTGCATGTTCAGAAAAAGTGAGCTGCCCTGTCCTGCAAATAATGTAAACAGGCTTGTGTAAGTAAATTGCTCAGTGAAAAGAAAGAGAAGTAATGGGAACCTGGTATTTCTATGTTCTTTTTTCCATGTGTCTAGTAGACAAGAAAAAGTTATTTGAAAAACATCTATGACCTCTGAAACATTACTAGTCTTCATGCTCTATGTTGAGTATGGTCTCACTAATAATAAACATACATTTGCATAAAGCATCCATATTTGCCCATGCCCATGTTGATTGTTGAATGTTTAAAAACTTGAAAAGTATTAATTTAAGGTACATTTTGAACAGATAAAATGTGCGATTAATCACGAGTTAACTCGTGACAATCATGTGATTAATCGCGATTAAATATTTTAATTGATTGTCAGCCCTAATATATATATACTGTATATACAGTATATATATAT